TACAGCATGATTTTATTTTTAATCCTGGACTCTCCATCTGTCCCTCTGGCTACTGTCTCTGTCTGCTTCAGGGCTACTTCAAGGCTGCTATGCCATGGCTTCCAAGCCTCATATCTCAAGTCTCGTAGCCTTTGCTGCATCCCATCAGGAGAATGAAGGCAGTTGTGGATGACTGAATTCAACAGATTGGAGTGCCAACAGCAAGCACAGGGCACTCAATGTAGTGCCTCTGGAGCAGCTGCTTGGTTTACTATTCCCTCAAGGCTAGCCCTGAAATTGTGGTAGCATTAGGAAGGACACTGAAGGCTGAAGAGATGGATTTACAGAAGGAACTTTTTAGTATCTTTGGACAGGGAAAATGTGGTAGGAGCTGGGAAGGATGGTTTGCTAGGAGATTTGAGCTGCACCTGTACAGATTGTCTACTCATCAGCTGGATATCCCATGGGACAATTTCAATGGCACTGAAGACATTTAGGAACCCAAGTACCATTGAAAGTCATTGACTTGAAAAATCTTCCTCTGTGTGTTCAGTGCATGAAAAAGTGTATCTGACGTGTGGTCATGACATGAATGCTGTACCCTTACATTTCTGTAGAGAATGGTTTGAAGGGAAACAGCTGGCTGTAAGACTAGCGAAACTGTGAGCAACAGACCTTAAATTATGATCCTATTCTGAAAGGTGCTTATGCAAAGTAGTACCTTCTTGCTCAACAGATCCATTCTCAGAGTGTAAACAGAGTCAAACCTACTGGCTAGCAACAAAAATAAGACTTTACAGCTTTTCCACAGCCCTGAAAAGCCAATGTGGTTGGTAGGATAAGAAAATTAGATCTTAATCCAGGTACCAGCAAAAATATTTATTTAAGGGCCAATCACTTGTCTCTGTGAAGACTCTCTGATGAGCTGAGGGTTGTATAGGAGCTGCTATGGACTGAAATTCAGCTTGCAGCACATTTTGCAGTAGTAGGGGAAGAAAGGAACTAGCCTGGGATCGATTTCATAGCCCACAGCAGGGTTTACAGAGCTGACAGTCAGAGAAAAAATATTGCAGACTAGTAAGATGATTTTATATGATATGGTCAGTAAAGTAGCTTTTGCCAAATAGTTGTTGCTGGGGCCTTTTCCAGTGTAAAACTGCTTTTCACTTCACCCTTAAAAATTTCACTCTGCACATGTGTGCTGATTTGCACAGATATCTTTGTAGAAGGCAGAGCTATTCTTGTTATACATAATAGTATTTGCCCCATCCAGACAGCCACAAATCCATGTCTTTCCTTCAGGACTGTGTTAAGAGTTAGACCTGATCAATCCCAGGAAAATAATGTGTGGAGTTTTTATAAATCTCTGTTTTGTCACACTTTGGCAGGCCAGTGTGAAACTGTTCCTTGTTCCTTCTCTTTAGATGTCTGATGGAATGCAGCACAAATAGTGCTAGTTCAGTCCCAAATCCATCAGAAGAGGGACAGAGCTCCTATGAACCCTTTGTGTATGGGGTACTAATATTCTCAGAATTTCTACATCTTCTCCAGCTTTACTTGATGAAGCTCTGTTCCTTTCTTATTTTCACATGCAAAAGCTCAAAGGATTTGAGTCAGGTGACCTTGTCTAGGGTGAGAAACATCAACAGTTTAATAAGAGGAGAAGCAGAAACAATTTTGTTGCTTTTACCTAGAAATAGAGTAGCTGACAGAATTAATGAAGGGCTATCTAGCCATCCACCTGCAGGTCACTTCCTCAAATAAAGATCAAGTCTAAAATTATTGTCATCTACACACTGTACATTAGTGAATATGAAAGAACTGAAAGCCTTGGCTTAGTTCCCAGTTCCACATCACAGTCTCCACCATTGGGCAGCTATGAGCTGTCCCCTTGTTGGCATCTCAGCTGAGAAAGGTCAGGACCAAGTAGCTTTGATGCTGAATTCCACTCTTACCCCTGGAGCTCAGGACAGAGCAGTCTGTGCTGTGGAGAGACAGAGCTTTCCAATTTCCAGGGCTGACAACTTGGTATGTTGTAGGAACACAGAACTGTAGAGAGACCTTTCTGGGTGATTCCCATTCCCTGTTAATGTAGGTAGACATGTTACCTAATCTTTTCCACTAACTGATCAAAGCTCTATTTTATAATCAGCCATGGTATCTTTGTCCCAGAAGGCCATTTCAAAACATTGCTTTTCAGCTAGAAAACAAAACAAAACAAAACATACAATCCTCCCTTGAAAATATTAAAGGAAATAATTTTACCTCTGTTTTATTCCGGGCCTATTTTCTGGCTGATTTAATGGTTATATTTATCCTCTAATACCTGTTCATCTCCTCATTCATTCATATTCAGTTAAGCAAGGTATTTGAACATCTTCAGGAATGAATGTGTGATGATACTCGACTGAATATGTGCTGTCAGTGACCTACTGCTATGGATGAACAGTTTGGGTTATCTGTGAAAGGGATCTCCACTGCATTACAAGGTCCATTAACACAGTGTATATCTTAGGAGATGGAGGGTCAAGCCCATCCTTGACAAACCTGTATGGAAGCTGAGGATTTGTTTAGTTTATATTGGACATATTTCATAGGAGGGTGAGGGCACAAGGAAACCTGAGAGGTGATGGAATAATGTTAACGTTCCTCTTGTCTCTGCAGGCTCGGGGATCTGGAGGTGGCAGGAAACGGAATGATGCTGCCTCCCAGGATGATCATGACAAACCCTATGTTTGCGACAGTAAGTAGCACCTAAAAAGCTGATTCTGCTTCCAGCCTGGTCCTACCAGCTCAGTGCACTCAGGGCTTAATCTTTTCCCTTTCAGCAAAATATTCTGCTGCTCTTTGACTTGCATGTTTGCCACCTGCTGCTGCTGCTCTTGGTGTTTTTGCATGAAGGAAGTAAAATGAAGTCCTCAGCAAGACTTCACTTCCCTTTGCCCTATAATAAATCATCTCTTATATTTTATTTCTCTTTCTCCTTCTCTTTTTCTGGCTTCTCTGCCTTTTGTCTTCCTTTCCCCCATGTAAGATTCACCCTCTATTTCTTTCTCTGTTTCAGATAGTTACAAACAAAAGCATAACTCAAAAACCTCCGACAAAGGTACTTCACCCTTGTTGTATCTCTTCATATATTTGGTGACTCTCTTTCCTTCAGTCCATTTAAAATCTCACTGGGATAAATTTTGAAGATCTTATTCTCATCCCTCACTCAGAAAGTGCTCTTGTGGCATCATCAGGAGTTGAGCCCTCATAAGAAACAAACACAACTGGAATGATTAGTTTTGATATATATTCCCTTTGAATATGGCCATGTTGTTTGATATCTCGCTGTGGGACTTCAGGTGAAGTAAGGCATTGCCCCAACTGAAAAATCTGCCCAAACTGAAAAAGGATACCAGAGTCCTTCTATGAGGAAGGAGTCCAATATTTGATACACAATGTAATTTTTTTAAGGTCTAGTCCTTGGTGCTTTCCTTCCTCTTTTGATTTTTTTTTTTTTCTTTATTACATCATTTCTATGAGGGGCATTTATCTTACCCACATGCTTTTGAGGTCTCACATCTTAAGGCTTGCTGTAGAGTATGCATGCAATAATAATTTGTGCTACTGGGTGCCTTCTATCCTATAAGACAACAACCTAACAAAAGTTAATAGAAGAATAGCAGGAGGTCTTCACTTTTGTGATCCAAAAATGTTTGGTGGTTTTGAGGATAATTAGAATCCCCCTTTCTCCACTATTTACCTATCTTACAATGTTATGGCCTTAAAAGACCAACTGTTACTATGTCAGTCTGTGGTGGTATTTCCTGCTTGTTTTTAAGAACATGAAGAAATAAGGAGCATATACGGTAAATAAGAGCTATATTCCGTGTGATCAAATAATTCTTTTATGATGAGATTAGGTGACTCTGCACAGTACAGTGATGGACATGTTGGGTATTTTGGTTCAGCAATGTGAATATTCTAAGGACAATGAGTAGAAATGGAAGGACTTGCACATGAATGGGAGTGTCTGAACACATCATCAAGGAGGAAAAGCTCTTTAGCATGTGAAGAGTCAGGAGATTTCTACTGTGGTTAAATAGCTGTCGTTGTGTGTTGGAAGAACTAAAATGGATCTTTGAAGACTTCTCTTGGAGCCTAGTAATGTATCTTGCTGAAATCCACAGCTTTCCTCGCGAAAGGAAGGAACACATAACTGTGTTTGTCTCTTTTCTGGAATGTCCTTCTAATCCAAGGACACTTGTCAGTGGTAGTAATTTTGAACATAAAGACTCTTCATTGTCTGATCTTACTTTGCTTTTGGATCTTACAGAGAACTCACAACATACATAGTTGTGATTTGCACAGAGTAGATAAAACATCTAGAAATCAAAGCAGGCAGCAGAAATCTGGGCTGCAGTCATGGCTCTGGTACATTGTTGTACTGATGGAATTTTGCCTTGGCTTACATTTTGGAGCATAACTTTCCTTTTTGGTTTTGGAAATATAAACTTTCCTATTTCATTTGGCTGATACCTTTCATTTTTAGGAAACTTATAGTTAGAGGAGAGTCATAAGGAGTTTTGGAATCCAGACTTTACACAGTGACTCCTCCTTTTCCATTGTAGATAGCTGAGAAAGGGTTATGTGGTAGCAAAACTCTTTTACCTCACTGTGGAGCAGAAGGAAAGAACTGTCCCAATTGTAATGCCATCATCCTAAGGTAATAGCCTACCCTTGTTAGCTTTCTGTAGGTATATTACATACAATTAATTGTGAATAATTGGTTTAAGTTGAGGCCTCTTCCCTGCTTGGGTGCATTTTTTGAATAATTTTTTTTGTGGTAGGTTAGAAATTGTTTTGCAGTATTCCATGTGCAGATATTTTGGGCAGATAGTTTTGTTTTACATGGAAACGTGCAGGTCAAAAATAGTGAATCTATTTCCTGTTTGGGAAAAGATGATTCCCACAATCACATTATTGATATAAATAATTACCTTAATGAGTTGACACTTTACTTTTTCTGTATATTATTTAATTTACCTCCAGGTTGCTTTTTTGCAAGCGTTCTGATATTTGATTTTGGAAAGTGACCACGAAGAAGGAAGCATAAGCATATCTAAACCAAATTTATTTTCTTATTTAACTGCATGGGCACAAAAAATGATTTGTGGTGAAGAACCACTCCGTTCTTTTTTCACAGTTACACATTCACGTTTATGGGAAACAAGAATATATCACCAGGTTTCATTAGTAATAAAAAGGTCGTGGGAAAAAACTAGTCTGTGTGTCAGTAAGATCGTGCAAAAGCAGTAGTACCCAGCTGACACTGCCCCTTGTGCTGGAAGATAGCAATGTTATTTCTGAAAAGGCCTGCCTTTTTTGGAAGAGGCGTTCAGCTCTACACCAATATTAAACCTGGTCCCAGTATTAAAACTGACTGGAAATATGGAATTTCTATACAGAGGAAGGTTTTCAAAGCTCAAAATATTTTGTCATCCTGTGTTTTTGAGAAAAGGTGGTTGGTTGCTTGTTTTGTGGAATGAAATACTCTGAAATATTTTGTTTTATTTTATTGAGCATATACTGTATCACAAGTTCAGAATAAAATGTTTCACTATGCAAAGCATTGATAAAATTGCTAACATAATAATGAAATGCCTTCTTTAATCAAATCTGCAAGTGAAAAACTAGTTGGTCAGATTTTCAGCCAGTTGCATTGGATAGTGTTGTGCCTTGAGCTCCCTCGGGATAAAGACTTAGATAACAAAAGTGGCAGGGCAACCTGGTGTGAGATGGGTATAGGCTGGAAATGGTAAAATAGTCAAATGGGTCAGTTGCTGTATGAGACCAGACCCAAACATAGTTTGAGTACCTGGCCAGGAGATAGTGCAGGTGCCTTAAAGGATAGTGAAAAGTAGGGCTTGAGGAGCAAAGCAAAAGCTCTGATGTCAAACAGGAAGTGGAAGATACACCACCACAGCTGTACATGATAAACTAGGCATGTGATTTTTAAAGGAAAGACAGAGTGAACAAATGTATGAATACCTACATATGTAATAAGAATTGATGGCATGTCATTGTCAAATGATCAGCTGGAGAACCTTCAGTTCTACCACAAATCTTTCTAATATATTAATATTGTTATACATTATTTACTATTTATTTTTTAAAAATCCACAAAAAAACCCCAAACCCAAAAAACACCTAGGCTTCTCTGAAGTTTTATCTAGAAACTTGTATTCTGGTTTAAAAGTTACAATCGGTCGTAGCACCTGAGCTCCATGACTCCAGATGTCTACTTCCTTTAGCCAGAGTGGTTACTTTGTGCTGAATCTTTACAAGTTACTAACTTACCTGCTGTCCATCCTCATTTGTCTGCTTTCCTGATTCTGTTTCCACAGAGACTTACATACATACTTTGCTTTCTGTCCCTCTATCTATGGAGGATTTCCCTTGTCCATCTCTAAAAGGAGTTGTTTCTTTTCCTTTTACCAATATGTCCTTGTCTCCTTTTAGTTTTACTCCTGTACAAACTGCTATTTTAGCATAAAAACTTATAGTTTGTATTGTATCCTTTATTCATAGTCCCTATGAGGCCAAGATATGCATTCAGATCCGTTCCTTGTGCAAAATGAGAATTGACTGAAACCTTCCTATGATCTCTGCAGGATCAGTGACTAATGCAATCTTGCATGTATCCAGAGATGCTGATCCTATAGTGTTCTGTAGAAGCTGACTGTTTTGTCAAAAATTTCATTTACAAGTTTCTTCGTTATTTAACTTGAATTTTTTCTGCTGCAGTCTAGGATCAGCAGTTCTTGCTCTGTTTTTAGTGGATAACAACATCTTCTTTCTAGGACTGTAAACAGTTACCGGGGCTTCTTTCAGCTGTGTTTTATTCAGCTCTTTTACTAAGATTGTTTATTTTCTCTGAAATATCTCCAAAGGTCTTATTTAAGTAGCACTGGCCAGAACTAAGTAGAATGTGCTGTTCTGAGGATAGAAGCAGTTTAGATGAATAGTTGATACATTTCCATGTAACTTATGTTTACTTACGGAACTTGGATTTATGCAACTTGCTGCCTTATGTTACCTATGAGAGGCACAGAGTTGGCTGACCTAATAGGTTGTTTAGTAAACCCTCTTTCAGTGCAAGACACTCCTCTTAAGTGCTGTGTCATATTTCATTGGCAAAGGAGTTTTCATCCTTGCCCACTATGTGAATTCACATTAAATATAACATTTGCTATGGCTTCTTACTCCTTCCCTGTTCAACTTCTTTCTACTCAGGCAGGTTATCTATCATCTTTAGTTTCCTCATTATACTGCTTTATCCTGTTTATACTGTGTTTTAGTTGTTTATACTAGATGTCATAATAATATTTACTAATTAAGTTACTGTGTGAAAAAAATATTTGATTAATAAAGCTCATATGATATATTTTTATTATTATTCCAATATTTTTGCCAACAATCAGTTTTCTGCATGTTTGACTCTTTCACTCTCTATTCCATCCTCCAAATTAATGATAAAAACAGAGGCAAGCACTGGGCCCAAAATGGACTTTCAGGTGCTTGAAGATGCAGAAAGCTGCCCTGTGAAGTTTTCAAAAAAATTAGGCTCCTAATTCTCACTGGAGATAGGCTCCTAAACTGTTTCCCCTAAATATCCCACTAAGTGCCTATCTGCTTGTATTATGCCTACAGATCATATAAGGCTTGGTCTCTAAGTGGATGCTTTGAACTTGACCT